TATTAGGGCTTGCTGAAGACAAAGCAGGTGACTATTATTCTCCTACCTAGTTCAAATAATTTTCCATAGGTTATATGGAGAATTATATAATTATATAAAGAATTAGAATTAGAATTCTAATTATGTAATTACAAGAGCCTTTACATATTAAAGTATTGTAATTAAAATGCAACATCATCATTAAACATTGTGTAAAGTATTATAGAGCATAGTTGAAATGTACAGACTAATATTGTAGTATTTAATGAAGTGGGAATAAAAATGTTCTAAGTACTCTTAAAATATCTAAAGAATACTACTGAGATGTACTTTACTTTATGTTCTTGAGATGGTCTTCAAATCAAGCCAGCATGTTCTTTTTCAGATACAAACGATTGTTACTTGTGTCCATACGGAACCTATCCAAGCAAGAATCAGGATTTCTGTATCCCTAAAACTCTCACCTTTTTGTCTTATGAAGAACCTTTGGGGATCAGTTCAGCCTTCTTTGTTCTTTTCTTTTCTTTGGTCTCAGTCATGGTGCTTGGAATATTTGTCAAGAACCACAACACTCCTATCATCATTGCCAATAACCGAGACCTCACTTACATTCTTCTCATCTCCCTCCCTCTCTGCTTCCTTTCTGCATTCCTGTTCATTGGTCATCCTGAGAAGGTGGTGTGTCTCCTGCAACAAACTACTTTTGGGGTGATCTTTACAATGTCTGTTTCTTCAGTGTTGGCAAAAACGATCACCGTGGTTCTGGCTTTCATGGCCACCAAGCCAGGATCCAGGATGAGAATGTTTGTGGGAAAGAGATTCTCCAACTCCATGGTCATTTCCTGCTCTCTTATTCAGATAGGGATTTGCATGACATGGCTGACAACCTCTCCCCCCTTCCCAGATACTGACATGGATTCAGCAGTTGAAGAAATTGTCCTGCAGTGTAATCAAGGCTCTGCAACTATGTTCTACAGCGTCCTAAGCTATTTGGGCTTCTTGGCCATTATTAGCTTCGTGGTTGCTTTCCTGGCCAGGAAATTACCTGAGACTTTCAATGAATCCAAGTTCATCACATTCAGCATGTTGGTCTTCTGCTGTGTTTGGCTCTCCTTTGTTCCAACCTACTTGAGCACCAAGGGGAAATACACGGTGGCAGTGGAGATATTCTCCATCTTGGCCTCTAGTGGCGGTTTGCTGGGCTGCATCTTTCTTCCCAAATGTTATATAATTGTCTTGAGGCCTGACTTGAATAATAGGGAACACCTAATGAAGAGAAAAAAGTGATGACTTTATCCTGTGATACCCTTTCCTATACTTTACAATGTAGCAATTTTTTATAGAGCTATTCACAAGAGGTTCTTTAGAACCCTTAAGGAGCACACACCAAGCTCCTCTTTTGAAA